CTTTTTTTGTTCTATGAATGTCTCTTTTAAAAAATAGATTCTCATCTTTTTTTATGAACATAGAATCTTCTCATATCTTTCTGTGTTTTTTAAGTTTTCTTTTCTCCATGTTTATTTCCTCCAAATTGGCCTCTATTTAAATTTTTTGGGTCTCTGTCTTTCATGTAAGGCTTTAATCAGATGTCTGGAGATCCTCGTCTATCTGCTCATGATAACGAATGGAGGATAGAGCTGATTGGAAATAGTGTATGCACATTTGTCTGTGTACGTGTATGCGTATGTGCGTGCGTGTGTGTCTGTGTGTGTTTAGGGTTTATTGACTCTGAACTTCACTGTTGGGTGATTTAGATAAGCCCATTTATTGAGGAATTTAGATTATGATTACATCAGTTTCTTACTGCTACTGTCACAAATAACCACAAATTTAGTGACATAAAGCAACACCATTTTATTATCTTACAGTGTTCTGGAAAGCAGAAGTCCAAAATCAGTTCTACTGGACTACAATCAAGATTTCAGCAGGCCTGAGGTACTTCTGGAGGTTCCAGGCAAAAACCCGTTTCCTTAACTTTTCCAGCTTCTGCAGGCTGCCTGCATTCCTTGATTGGTCTGCTTCCTCCATCTTCAAAACCAGTGGTATAGCAGCTTTTCTCCTCTCTGATTCCTTCTTCTGTTCTTAAATTTCTCTCTGAATTTGATACTCTTGCCTCTCCCTTATAATGTCTCTTGTAATTATATTAGACTCACCTGAATAATCCAGTATAATCTTTCCATTTTAAGAACCTTAATTTAATCACACCTACAAAGTTCATTTTAAGGTAACATATTCACAGGCTCCAGGGATTAAGTCATGGACATTTAGGGGGCTTATTATTTATTCATAAGATACTTACCATAGGAAGTTTCTAAGTTTTTCCTTTTGCACTGGCCATACTCTCTATATAAAGGCTTTAGCTTGGAAGATAAAATTCTGACTGCCAGCATTCTGAGATCTGAAGGGTTTAAGAGAGACTGGAGACTTGTATGCCTTAGTATTCGACATCCAGGATGTGCCAGTCACTTAATCTCTTTGGTTTTGATGCAGTATCTGTATATTTGGTGAATCTAGTTCACTCCAGTTCAGAGACCCTCTATTTTACCCTTTTTAGAGAATAAGCTTTCAGATATCTGCTACTTCCCAGAGGCCTGGAGAGGAGAAAGGATATAGGGACTAACCCAATTCTACTTGTCTTAGTGGCCTTTCTTTATTCCTACTTCCAGAGATATCTGGTGCTATCAATTTGGGAGTCTTTTGAGGATTCCAAGGTGTAAATCAAGTTGACTTTTAGCTTCCCCCACTGATAGCTTGGGATTTTTATGTTTCTTGAGTTGTTGTCAGCTCCGTCTCACCAGTATGCTTTGTAGCTTCCAAAATGTTATTTCTATTGCCTCTTCCCCTAATATCTCCTTATTTATTGGTTTATGTTTTTTTTTTTTTAAATCTTCACTGTGAATTTAGTGTGACTTTAGGCAGGAGTGAAATTAGATGTGTGTGTGTGTGTGTATATGTGTTTGTGCACGTGTATGTTGTCATCTTAATCCAGAAAATGCATTTGATTTGAATTGGTTATGTTCTTTGGGTCAGGCATAGATTGATTCTTAATTGGGTAGCCAGGAACCACATCCAGTAAAAATATTTTAGTGGCCAGGTTTGTATATCCTGACCTACCTGCCCAATTACACACATTCAGTCTTGACTTCTTGTTTCCTACCAGATAACCTAGTTCCTCCAGAACTGGAATCTTGTCCCTAATTCCTAGCTTTATGTCACAGAGTAGGAAGCAGAAATGACAAGAGTCTTCTGAATATAAATAGTTGTGGTTTTCATAACAATAACCTTGAATTTCTCTTATTCCTTATAGTTTTTCAGAAGCTGGAGTTTTAGGAACCCGACTATTATGGCTATTATGCTCACAGTCACCAAAGCTTGTGCAAAAGGAAGTGCTGGCCTCTCTTATACTTTTATTAGCAATGCCTACCTCTTACTTTGCCTTCTTTATTTCCCCAAACTTCCAACCCTATGCTGTCACTATGACCCTATGATCATCCCCCAGTTCCTTTCTTTTCTGTTGTATTTGTGGCAGTTTCAGGTCTCAGCCACCCCAAATCTGCTCCAACTGTACTTGAGTTCAGATTTAAGTCACACTGCTTCTAAGAGCTTTACGTGTGCTAACTTACTTAATTTTTCCAACAACTCTATTATTATTCCTACTTACAGATTCAGAAACTGAGGCACGGAGAGAGCAAATCTGATAATGGTAACACTGCTGAGAAGGCAGTGCCAAGATTTGAATCTGATCAATTTGACTCCAGAGTATATCTTTAAACCACTATGTAAGAAGCCTCTTATAAATCCCATTCATGTACCAAATACTGTTTTCTCATTTAATCCTCATAGAAACCCTAAATCAAGCAAACAACCAAAAAAAAAAGATATTGAAGATCTGAACAACAAAACTAACAACTTGACCTAATGAACAAATGTAGACGCCTACACCCAATAGTTGGGGAAAACATATACTTTTTAAGTACATAGAACATTTACAAATAGTAGCCATAAAACAAGACCTAAAAATGTTCAAATTATCAGAATCATATATACCACATTCTATAATCACAATACAATTAAATTAGAAATCAATTTTTAAAATTACAAAGTCATATGTTTGGAAATTTAAAACACACTTAAACACTCATAAATAAAAAAAATAAATAAAAACAGAAAATATTTATAACTGAATAATAAGGAAAGTACTTAAATAACAAATACATAGTCTTAAATGTTTGTTAAAAGAAGAAAGGTTGAAATTAATAAGCTAGGCATTTAATTTAAGAAGTCAAGAAAAGTACAATGAGAAGCAAGGAAAATAAGAAAGAATGAATGAATAGAAGAACATAAATGCATAAAATAGAAATCATTGTCAATTATGATTAGCTGTCAATACTCGGTCTCTCTGAAAATTAGAAAATGAAAGAGTATGTCCCAAAAAGGATAAGAAAAAGTGTTGTCACACGTCCAGTTCTTTCATACTTTAATCTCCTTAAATAGATTTTACAGAAAAGATTAGAGGGTATTTGCTTTTTAAATGATATTTATTTTTCTAATTATTCAAGTAATACATTTTCAATAAAAGATTTGAAAATATAGAACAATGTATAGAAATGTAACCCATAATCTCATCACTAGTCAGTAATTATTAACTATTAACATTTAGATATTTTCCAGTCTTTTTTCTATGTATCTGAAGATTTGTATATGTCTACATGTAATTAATTATATAGTTATTTTAAAAATGTGGGCTCAAACTGTACACATAAATTCGTATCCAGCTCTTTTACTTAAAATTGCATCATTGGCATATACTATTTAAGTACTAAATTTTGGATGGCTGTGTTAATATTTAATTTACTTTTAGATAATTTACTATATTGCATTTGATGATGTCCCTGTTTTTAGACAGTGTTTCCAACCCTGTGGTGGAGTCATTTAGCTGACATCTATTCATGGCCCACTCAATGTGTGGTGCCATATTGAATTTAAGCATGATTGAGACAGTCTAAATGTGTCTGACAAACTGGCAGGGTTGACCTGCCTGAAGTCTATTTACAAGATGACTAAGGAGTCTTTGGAAGAACTAAAAAAAAAAGTGTACTGGACATGATGAGCTTATGGGCTTGATAGAGTAATCGTGTATTCTCTGTATGTAGGCTTCCTTCTTTGTGTTTTAATTATTATTATTTTATGGCAATTCCTGGGTTGCTTCAGTTTTGGATTCCTAGTTCAAATTCTCAAACAAGAATGACCAACAATCTTATTTGGACAATATTTCACTCTAAGCTAAGAAAGAGGCCACTAGGCACTCCATGGCATAAGTGACTGTGCCAGTTCTGTCAGGGTCCAGAGCATACAGGTCACATAGTATACAACATGGCTTGCTTTCAAGATGCTCACTTCAGGAAAGGCTCTGGGCTGGACAACTTCTCTTAAAGAAGGCAGTACGTTGAGCAGATCTCAAGGAGAGAGGCATTCCCTAGATTACTGGCTACTATTGCCCATCTTTGTCACAGAGCAGGTATTGGCACAGCATTGTTGATAGCATCCATGGAGGAAAGCAATGGGGAAATGGCAGAAATGTTAAGGCCCAGTGGGCTTATGATAAATACAGGTACTCAGTAGAACAGCCATGAAGAATAGAAGGACCTGGCATGAATATCCAACACTGAGTATCTACTATGCCCATTTTGTGTTAGGCTCAATGGGTGATGAGAAAATATAAGATGTGGCTGCTATCCTGAAGGAGGTCATGGGTAAGTATAGGTAGAAAGATTATAAACGTTTTGCTTAAAAAACTTTTAAAAAATAAATACAGGTAGTGATAACTCCACATGACAGTTATCAACTGATAAATGGTCACTTTCTCTAACCTATTGAGCATGTCTTCAACTGCTAATTTATTTCAAGGATGTTTCTTGTAACCCACTACATTCATCATCAGAAGTAAAAAAATAATGCTAAGAGTTCAGTTAGGTTATGTAAGTTTATATAAAACTTTAAAGGCTATCTATCTCACCACTTTCCCCAGTGAATGTTGATTTAAGTGTTATTCTATGATGTTTGTAGATACTCAAGGTTGAAAAAAGCATATACCTTTAAAAGCTAGAAAAATAACAAATATTTTTAATAGTAAAAATATGAGTTTTTAAAAAATATTTTGATAGTAAAAGAATAAGGAAAACTTGGAAAATATAAAAAAAATAAGAAAAAGAGTCACCTATGACCCAAATTAACCACAGTTGACATTTTGGTGTAAACCCTTCCAGATTTAATTTTTATATCATATTTTGATTATTTTGTGTTTTAGGTAGTTATGCTTATACTGTAAACATAAATTTGTAATCTGCTTTTTCACATAGCACTATTCATAATCTTTAAAACATCATTTGTAATGACTGCATAATATTACAACTCTTTATTTAATCCTTCCCCTAAACTTAGACTTGTAGAGTATTTCCAATTCTCCAAAATATTAAATAATGTTGAAACATATTCACTTGCATACAGTTTTATCTTATATTCTTATTTATTTCCATAGTATAAATTATTGAAAATTGATTTGTTTAATCAAAGGGTATAAATATTTCTAAAGATCTTCACACATATTACTTAGAAAAAATTCTAAATAGAAAGGTGGCATAATTTGCACTTCCAGTGAGGACTGTAAATTTTACGAATGGGTACAATAAACACCAAATGGAGAAAACATCATTTGAATATTGCACTCAAGTCTAAATATGAGACTTAGATAGATGACCATAACTTGATAAAGGAAAACATTTTTGTCCTTATTCAAATGATTCCAGGCTATAAAAAAAAAGAAAAACTGAAGTGAGTAAAGTAGTAAATTTGACTTGATTAATAATTCATAATCCAGGTAGCAATTTAAACTTATAGTTCATATTCAGAACATAATGGAATAAGAAAATATGTATTTGAAATTGCTAGGAAAGGTGTTATACATTATGTGTTGTTAAACAAGTCACAAGACATCTCATATGTGATTTCTCTTCACTTTGGACTTGCTGGATAGGTTTATCAGTTTCATCCATAACTAAATTAACGTTAGTACTTTAGCAGATGAAGCAAAAATAGTTTCAAATAAAGACATATTCCTCCTCTTTTAAAATATCACTCACTAATGACTCAGTATAAAGAAGGATTATTAGCAAAATACAACAGCATTCAAAAAAATTATTTCAATGGAATAAGGTTTTGAGCCTTTGATTATTTTATGAACAGGGAAATTCTCAAATTTGCTTTGAGTTGTTTCTACACAGAACACTGAAATGTTGTTCATTCAAAACACAGTGCCGTTTTCATCAGATAACACAAAATACAGATTTTACAATTATTCCATTGATTCAATCCATATAGACAATTCAACAAACACTTTGAAATAACGGGGGGAAATTGAGATATTAGAGGTTGAATAAAGACAAGTGCAATAAGAATGAAAAGAAAATGATGGAATTCTAAAAGCCCGTCAACAAGACTCAGTGAATCCTGGGCAGTGGAGGCAAAATGGAGAAGGTACAGGTGCCAATGGGAGTCTGTTACCTGGATGATGATTGAATAGGTTCCACACAGTATCTTGGATAACTGAATGACTACTCTGATGAGGCAGATGATCACCTGAAGCCCACTGAGAGCTATGAGAATGGAAAACAAAATGATATTCCATTCTACTACATGTGCGGGTTCAAGGCACTGAATCCATATGCTGGAATCTGTAAGGAAACTAAGAAAGAAGAAGGAAATGGTCAACAAGACCCATGGCCAAGACTACACATTTAGTCCAAGGAAGAAGGCTATAGTTATTTATATGTTCAGGAAATTAATATATATGATTAAAATAAATAACTATTAAATATAAATTAATATACTTTAAAAATCATTCAGATACATATATTGAAAATATAGCATGTATAGTACTGGACTATGCTCATTATAAACATAGTGACCACCACCAAGACAATCTAATTTAATTAGGAAGCAAGACACTTATTGAAGAGTTCAATAACAATGAAAGGCAGCACATGTCAATACCTAGAGAAGACAGACTGCCCAATCCATGGGAGTCCAAAAGTTAGCCTGGGCTGTTAAGGACATGGCTGAGCTTATGCTTGATCTAAAAACCACACAGTTGGCAAAATATCAAACAGAAATTTCTTCTATATATTTCTAAAATCTCTCCCAATACCCTTTAGAACAGTAGTTCTCAAACTTGAGCATATATCAGGATTATGGAGAATTTGTGAAAATGCAGATTGCTGGGCCCACAGAATTTTTAATTCGAAAGGTCTTGATGGGGCTCAAGACTTTACATTTCTAAGTTTCCAGGTGCTGGTAATGCTGCTGGTCTGGGGCCCACAGTATGAGGACCGCAGTTTTAGAATGGTTTTGTTCTTCAGCTCTTAAGAAGCTTTAGATTATGGAGTGGAACTGCAAAAAAAACTGAAAGGTTTGATCAGTCTAGTTTAGCATAGGATTAAGAGAATTAAACGACTTCCAAGATAATTTTAAAACTACACTGAATCAACCTGACTGACTTTTGCTCACTTTCAGGTCTATCATGCCATTAGCATTTCTTCTAAGATTGAGAAGCTCTCTGTTCAACTAAATCAAAATGAAAAAGTGGCATCCTTAAAAAAATTCCCCAAACAAAAACAAATACACCTATTTGCAGGGCAGAGTTGTCCATAAATATTTTATCCACAGCAAGTTGCTTTTTCTTAAAACAGCAATTAAGACAGGAAACCTGGGTACCAGCCAAGTGGCTCTGTGGTGGAATGGGGTGAATTCTGCATTTTGGTGACCACTACCACCACCATCACCTCTCTCTTCTCTTTGTTTTTCTCTCTCCCCACTCTATTTCTTTCTTATTCTCTTCCCTTAACTCTATTTCCTACTCTCTGTGTTCCGGGATACTCAGAGGCACTCTGAGAATTTCTTGGTATTGCCAATGGCCCTTAGATCTCAAGTGGTTAAGCACTCCCTGGATCCTAGGATCTTGGGCAAGAGACTTTACCTATCTGATCTCCAGACAATAGTCTTAAAATATCCAACCCTAAGGTTATTACGACTGTCAGTGAGAGATAGATAAAACTGCTTTGGAATCTGAAAAGCACAATACAGATCTAATTTCCTGTTACCATTTGCCTAGACCAATTTCATGCACCCTTATACTCTTAATTCAATTTCAGCCACCAGGGAAGCTATTATCTTCAAAATCCTTACTCTAGACTGTTCCCAGTACATACTTTGCACAGACCATTAATACTTTAAAGAGAGATGACTTGTAGGGTTTCAATTTTTCTCCCAGACTATGGTACTATTTATTCCTGTAAACCACAGAGAGTCATAAGTACACTAGCAGAGTCTGGAAGAAACAGAAAAGCTGGAAACAGGTGAATGCAAGTATCAAGGGAAGACAAGTTTAAAGAATTAATGAAGAGGCATGTAGGCAGCCTGAGATTCTTGCAATGAAAGGTGAGGCTTCTTTGGTTTTGGGGTGGAGAAAAGTTCAGGGGCTGATGGCGTAAAAAAAGATTTCTTTGCACCAAGTGGGACTTTATATATTAAGGTCTCCTTTCCTGAGGCCCTTCAATCCCATAGGAGTGCCTCCTCCAAGTCCTCAGAAGGGCCTGAGGTTGTTTTTTAAGTTCTCCTGACCTGAGAGAGAGCTCTGGAGGCACCATCTTGTTGAACTTTCAGAATAAAGGTGGCTATGGGCACAGAAGCAGTTCTGCCATGCGGTCTAGGTAAACATGTAAGACCTCAAATAGGTGTGAGCCTTGAATAATAAATGGGGAGATGAGAAAAAAATGTAACTTCCCCAGAAAATGGTACAGACACCCTTATTTTATTCCATTAGAATTCTGAACACAGGACAAAACAAGGAGAGACTTAATGGTTCTCTTCTGTATCTCTGTCAGGGCCCTGCTACCTCCTGAGCTGCCTCTGCAAGTGTTGGTAGGCCGATAAGCCCAGAATGATGCCAGCGTGAGGCATTCTGTGATCTAGGATTGGGTCCCTCAACACCTGACTGAACTGCAAGCCTTTTTAGCAAGACTGCTTCTCTAGACTCTTCTTCAGTACATGCTAAATAAGCTCCTGGCTCATTCTACAAACTTCCACACCTAGCCATGTCTCTAGATCGCAGACTGCACTTTGCTGCTTGCCCTGCCTTGTTCTATCTCTGTGTAGCTCCTGCTCATGTAGCCCTGGGTTGCACCATCCAAGGACACTGTAATTTTTTCTCAGCTGAGCACTTTCACGTCTGTAATAGACCACATGTCCAATGTGGCCACAAAAGAAGACTGACTTCCCAGAATCACTCAAGTCCCAGGCTCCAACAGCTGCTATACCACAATAACCATGAAAACCTGTGCTGAAAAATAAGAGAAACATGTCTTTCATTTGGATATCTCTAAGTTAGCCTCAAACTGGTGAATATGCATGGCAGTGAAAGACTTGGGGAAAAAAACATGTGAACACAGATACATGAAGGAATATGTTGGTCTGGATATCAGTAACCTAATAGGAAAATTCTACCTAAACCAGCCACATGGAACCCCGAAGTGATCATGGAAAATGAGTATAACCATGACCTCCTTGATTTGTGGAATTATTTCTTACCGTCCTGCAGTGCCCTCAAAGGCATATTCCCAGCCATTGAGGGTGCGGCAGTATGGGCCTTGAACAAGACCCAAAGTCGATATGACCAGGCAGTATCCAGAAAAAGCAATTCCAAGGGCAGAAAAGATCATCGACAGCAGTGTCTAAATAAAACATAGAAGAAAGAGGTTAGTGCTATAGAATGAGACAAGGGGATACTGTGGATAAATGATCAGATAGGTACCTTCCCCTACTCATCTAGCCTACTCCACTCTATATAATACCATATCTCCACATAAAAATAGAACATTTAATCCAAACCCACGTGATCTTAAAAATAAGTTTAAATGACTTTTTTGTTTGGCATTCTATAGAGGTAACTAGTTAATTTACTAAATTTCTTCCTTTTTTTTCTGGAGGGTTGATATCAAAATAATGATCACCTTATACATAATGCAAAGAAGAAATGTGAACAATTAATCTATACTTATTTATTGAAGACATTATTTTCTAGAAGGTAGGTTCCCTAAGAATCATAAGCTATGATCCCTGCTTTTCTCTTATGTAGATGATATTTGAATATCTTCACACATAGAAATATGAGGGAAAATAGCAGATGTCAGCCTAGGTGGTCATATTTATATTTAAGTAAGGATTGATAAGAAAGATGATGTTTTAATTTGAATAAAGAGAATGAGCAATATTCACAAGCAGATCAGCACAAGCAGAATTATGACAATAAGTAAATTGGTTAGATCTAAGGGAAAGTTCCTACAGAGGGGCAGAGGAGGAAGTTCCTACAGAGGGGAAATTCCTACAGAAGGGCAGACTGGCATGGTGCTAATGCTAGGGAAACAAAGTTGATAGGACACAATCTAGCCCTTGTGTTGCTTGCAAAGTGAGTGCAGAGTTGGCAGATCTGGGAGGAAAATGGTCTTAAATGCTGGATCAAGGAGGCTGGACTTCCTCCTTCAGGGCAAGTGGTTTTCCACATATTAACTTCTTATTAAAATAATTTCAAATCTACAAAAAATGTTGAAAGTACAATACAATGAATCTCTATATACCTTTTACCTAGGCTCATTTTTGTATTTACCACTTTTGCTTGTACTCTTCCTCTTTGTGTATGTGTATGTGTGTGTGTGTATTTACACATTTTTGTTGTTGAAGTATTTTAACATAGGTTGCAGACATTATGATTTTTTCCCCTACATACATCATTTCATATCTCCCCAAATTAAATTTATTATTCTGTAGCTGTTTTTTTTTTATTTTTTTTATATAGGATCTAATGAAAGTTTATGTACAAGATTACATCTCTTTAGTTTCTTTTAATCTACACTAATCTCACTGCTTTTTTGTTTTGTTTAGTTTTTCAGGATGTTAAATTGTTTTGGAAGAATATCAGCTAGTTGTCTTGTACAATTTCTATATTTTGGATTTTTCTAATTATTTCCTCACAATTGGACTTGAGTTGAAACTTTTGGCAAGAAACTTGATTGATGTGGGTACATTATGGGCCTCTCACTGCTACTGGTGTTGCTAAATTTAATCTCTTGGTTATGATGATTTTCTTTAGATCTATAAATATACGTTTTCCACTTTGCAATTAGTAAATAATTTGTGAGATGATACTTTGAGCTGTGTCATATCCCGTTCTCTAAAGACATTTCAACTGATGAATTTAGCATCAACTGCTGATCTCAATATTCATAGGTTACCAATTATCACAATAATTGGTTGCAATGTATTGGTTTCCTAATGCTATCATTTCTTCTGCATTATAAGTTATGATTTTTTTCCAAGGAATTTCCATTTCCCATTTCTTTCTCCTCTGACTCTCTTCCTCCTCTGACTCTCTTCCTGTATTATTGCAGATTCATAGATATTCTAATTCAATATGTTACTATTCTTTTAGATGCTGAGATGGTCCAAATATGACCAGTGGGAACATCCCTTTGAATTAATTCCTGTGCCCTTTGACACATTCTTATTATTCTTTGAAAATTTCCTTGCTTTCTGGCACAAGATGGTCCAAGTTCATTTTGAATTTATGTTGCTTAGCCCTGAATAAGTTCTTTTTTTCTGACAAGTCATGAATTTGATTTTTGAGTAAGAATGTGGCATTAACCAATATATGATTTTGGAAAATTACTTTGACAGTGATGGTATACCAGATAGAAGTGAGAGAGCCCAGAAATAAAGAGTCTGTATAGAGACAACTTCAAGTTCAAGTGACAAAGACATTCACTGGTTAAAAAGATATTAAGGAGAAAATGAACAGCTAGAAATAAACTAAAAAAAAAAAAAAAAAATTCCAGAGTTTGAAACTTGGATGAAAAAGAGAGAGAAATAGGGATGCCAAAAATGATAATTTGCTTTGGGAGAAAAATTAAGTTAGTTTAAAAAGTGTTGATTTCAAATGACAGTAGGACAGCTAAACAGAAACTTGCAGTAGCCAGCTGATAATAAATTCAAAAGCTGAGACCACAGTTTCAGTCAAGATGGTGAAGTAGATAAATGCTGTGCTCATTTCCTCAAAATTACATCTAAATTATAGAACAACCACCTTGAGAAACACCTGAAAACTAGCTGAACAGAACTCCCATAGCCAAGGCTATAAAGAGGTAGTCTCATAGAGACTGGTAGGAGGGGCAGAGATATGAAATAGTCTGGTCCTACACCACCTGTGGTGGTTAAGAATTGAGAGGGATATCTTGGCTATAGAGATCCCCCACCTAAGGAGCAAGGGGTCCCTGCCCTACACTGGGCTCCCTAGCCCAAAGTGACAGTGTTGAGAAAATGAGTTCTCACAACATCTGGCTGTGGAAATCAGTGGAGATTCCATCTGGTTGAGATAGAGGGCTGCTGTGGAAACAGGTACACTCTTAAAGGACCTGAGCACAGACTCACTCATTCACAAACACTCATCCTAAGCTCCAGTGAAAGAACAGCAGCTTAAAAAGCACCAGGGACATAGAGGAAGGAATTAATTGTCTGGCTTCAGGGTGAGGTCTGGAGGGGCAGTTCTTTCCCAGATAGAAGTGCTGGCAGGTGCCATTGTTCCTTTATTGGGCCCTCCCACACCCAGCCTGCAGGCACCGACAGACATCAAATCTGAGTCTTCATTAACTTGGCTAACACAGCTTGTCTCACCCTGGTAATTCTCCGAGGCCCCATTCCACCCAACTAGAACCTCTTTTAGCAGCGGTTCCTCACAAGTGACTGGCCTTGGACTTTCCTCAAATGTCTCAAAGGCCTACAAACCCCAAACAAGCAGCAGTAAGCCGGCCTCACCATGCCTACTGTACCTCTTGCTAAGTGGCCCCAAGCCTGGCATTAGTGATGCCTCCAAGCCCAGCAAAGGCAGCTACCAACTGCAGATCACTTTGTACCTCTTACCAGGTGACCCAGGGCTATGCACAGGGAGTGGCTGACCTTAGCATGCACCAGAGCCCCTGTCAAGAATCCCTAGAACAAACACTTGAAGGCTGACTTCAGATCATACCAGAGCGTCACCCAATTAGCTGCACAAGTGACACACCCAAAGGATGAACTCAGCAAGCACCAGAGCTCCAATAAAGCAAATTCCACTTCGTGGAGTCAGCCCACTCCCACACACACAACAGCTCATCAGCTATAATCACAGCCAGCCCTCACAGACAGTCAGTTAGAGTTTTAATCTTACCCACTGATGTGCCAATATCAATCAAGGCTCAACTACAAAAGGAAGGCATACAGAAACCAAACAAGGGACACCGCTAAAGTACCTGGCTTAGGTGACCAGGGAAACTATGTTACTGGTTCCCAAAGGACACCTTCTGCATAAGACCACCCTGCCAAGATCAGGAGATGTAGTAGATCTGCCTAATATATATTAACAAACACAGGGAGGCAGCCAGAATGAAGAGGCACAGAAACATGTCCCAAATAAAAGGGCAGGACAAAACTCCAGAAAAAGAACTAAATGAAATGGTGGTAAGCAATCTATCAGATACAGAGTTTAAAACACAGGTTATAAGGGTGCTCAGGGATTGGAATAAACATGGCGGCATGAGAGACATTCTCAGGTCTCTCCCCTTGAAACAACAATAAGCTGAATACCTAAAACTCAACAAAAAACACCCAAACTGCACACCAGCATGTATAAGCGTGGGATCTGTGTATAAGAGCTACCACAGGTCAGAACCCCAGGTGTCGGGCGGTGGACTGGGAGAAACAGAGAAGCTGCCTCTCACAGCTGGAGTACTCTGTAAGAGGAGGGGGAAGGGAGGAGAGACGAGTTCCCTGAACAGCCTGTCTGAGAGTGCTGTGAGCTCCAAGTGGCCGGCGACATGACCAATCATCAGAGCAGAAGGCAGAGAAACAGAGATGGCAGAAAAGCAGAGACGGCAGAGAAACAACAGTTGATTTTTACCAGCCGCAGTTGCAAAACTGAGGCTGACCGAGCTTTCAACCCCCAACACAGAGGGCCCCTCCGCCAATACCCTTTGAGATGGAATGCCGCAGAGCCCCAGGCGAATCTGAGCAAACGCTACCTAAACTGTCACTAACACTGACAGGAACTGAGACTGAGACTAGTGAGCATGATTAAACATCTGTAAGGAAAAAAAGATTTTATTAACTCTTTATTTAAAGCAGAGATCCAAGAGGCTTCGATGCCACCTACTGGAAACCAAAAGAAGAACACCTTATTTACAACAGTCTAGGGACCATTATATAATAAATCTTCTTTCTGAAAAAAAAAAAAGCAGAACTCACTTCCATTAATGCCCAGGTGGAGAAATAGTCCATTAAACACCATGAACAACCAAGGTGACAAAGCATCTCAGAAAGAAAGAGAAAAATCTCCAGAAAATAAGCTTACAGACATAGAAATATGTGATTTAACTGACAGAGAATTCAGAATGGTACTTCTGAAAAAAACTCAGTGTGATCCAAAATGAATCATATCAACAATTTCAGGAATTGAAAAAACAACTAAATGAGCAGAATGAGTTCTTTAGCAAGGAAATTGAAATCCTCAAAAAGAACCGAATAGAACTTCTAGAAATAAAAAAAAACACAATGCAAAAGTTGAAAAATGAAATAGCAAGGTTGGGAAATAGAGTCGACCAAGTGGAGGAAAGGATCAGTGATATCAAAGACAGAAATCTAGAAATAA